ATTACACCCCCTTATGGGTCGAATTTTAAAAAATTACTTAGTAGTGCTCATCTTAGAGAACGAATTAATATTCTCCGTATTTACTCCAGTTTCCTAATACTAGCACAGATAACACATAATCATACTAGTTAATTTTTTATTGGAATAGAAGTATTTTTTATTAGAAGGTATAAAAAAATTAAAAATCTAAAATTTTATTTTCATAGCTACGTTTTTATAGCCTTAGGATGCCTCATGTACTAACGAATACGAAATATATAATCAATACATATTTCTTTAAATATCGAGAAATAAAATATGTTTTGGCAACACCGTACGAAATATCGCCGCGCGTAGTCCTCAAAATTTAAAATATTAGCATTTTCAGGCTTCGATTATGTTCAAAAGCGCCACCGTGTGACAAATCACTAAAGCTTCCACACGAGATTTCTTAAAACTATAATATTCTTTGTTTATACCCTTAATTGATAAGGGTAGCCGAGAGGGTAGCCCACCCTTATTATTTTTTTAGTTTTTGAAAAGAAAAAAATGTTTTCATTTTTTTATTTGGCATTAAGAAATACAAACAACCTTAAATTTTCACCGTTCTGCTATCATCCCCTATTTTTAATAGGGGTTGTTTTTTTATTTTTTTTTGTTGCCATCTCCGAAACGGCTTAGCCAATTTTGATGAAATTTTATATGTATATTCAGTAGGTCTGAGAATACGTTGTTATCTATTTTTATACCCTTAAGTGATAAGGGTAGCCCACCCCCATTTTTTTTTATTTTTTGAAAAAAAAAATATTTTAATTTTTTTTATTTGGCATTAAAAAATACAAATAACCCTAAATTTTCACCGTTCTACCATCATCCCCTATTTTTTAATAGGGGTTGTTTTTTTAAGTTTTTTGTTACCATCTCCGAAACGGTTTAACCGATTTTGATAAAATTTTATATGTGTATTCAGTACGTCTAAGAATAGGCTGTTATATATTCTTATGCCCTTAAGTGATAAGGGTAGCCGAGAGGGTAGCCCACCCTCATTTTTTTATTTTTGGAAAAAAAAATATTTTTTTTATTTGGCTTTAAAAAAATACAAACAACTCTAAATTTTCACCGTTCTACCATCATCCCCTATCTTTTAATAGGGGTTGTTTTTTTAAGTTTTTTGTTACCATCTCCGAAACGGCTTGGCCGATTTTAATGAAATTTTATTATGTATATTGAGTAGGTCTGAAAATAGTTTGTTATTTATTTTTTATACCCTTATGTGGTAAGGGTAGCCGAGAGAGTAGCCCACCCTCATTTTTTATTTTTTGAAAAGAAAAAAATGTTTTTATTTTTTTAGTTGGCATTAAAAAATACAAATAACCCTAAATTTTCACCGATCCATCATCATCCCCTATTTTTTAATAGGGGTTGTTTTTTTTATTTTTTGTTACCATCTCCGAAACGGCTAGACCGATTTTGATAAAATTTTATATGTATATTCAGTAGGTCTGATTTGGTTCGGTTTGGTCACAATCTATTCCCAGGTTGTTATCTATTTTTATACCCCTAAGTGATAAGAGTGGTCCACCCCAACTTTTTTTTTATTTTTTAGACAAAATTTTTTATTTTAATTGTTTTATAGGGAATGCTTATTTTTTAGGGGATGCATGTCCAAAATTTTCTTCTGGGTACTCACACTTAAGGGACCTCTGTACAAAATTGCATACTCCTAGTCCTAGAACGGATTTTACATAAAAATTATACAAATTTTTACCCTTAGTTTTATCCCCTTAAGGAATGAATTCCAAAAATCGCTGTATTTATTCAATTACGCTACATAATAAACCTCTATGCAAATTATTGAACAGAATTTATTGTTCCAGAACATATTCCTTGAACAGAATTTACTGTTCCAGAACGTTCAAACCCTCATTTCACACCCTTAGAGGGCGAATTTCCAAAAATTGCTTCTAGTGCTAAATTACGTTACATAAGGAACGTCTGCAAAATTCATACTTCTAAAACCGATTTTAACAAATTTTTGTACAAATTTTCATCCCTTATTTTTAGGGGTGCATGCCTAAAATTCGCTTCTAGGTACTCACTTTCATCATTTAAGGGACCTCTGAACAGAATTTCATACTCCTAGTCCTAGAACGGATTTTACATAAAAAATTATACAAATTTTCACCCTTAGTTTTACCCCCTTAAGGAATGAATTCCAAAAATCACTCTAATTATTCAATTACGCTACATAAGGAACCGCTGTGCAAATTTTCATATTCCTTCAACAGAATTGTTTCAGAACGTTCACCCCTCATTTCACACCCTGAGAGGGCGAATTTCCAAAAAGTGCTACTTAGTGCTAAATTACGTTAGATAAGGAACGTCTGTGCAGAATTTCATACTTCTAAAACCGATTGTAACAAACTTTTGTAGAAATTTTCATCCCTTATTTCTAGGGGATGAATGTCAAAAATTAGCTTTTAGGTACTCACTTTCGTCACTTAAGGAAACTCTGTACAAAATTTCATACTCCTAGAACTAACATTTTTTCTACAAAATTTCACCCCCCAGTTTCACTACCCTTAGGCTATACATTTCCAAAAATCGATTATCAATGTTCAAATGCGCCACATCTGTGCAAAAGTTCATACTCCTAGTAGGTACAGATTTTTTTTGTATAATTACATCCCTTTATCTAATTACACACCCTCATGGGTCGAATTTTAAAAAATTACTTAGTAGTGCTCATCTTAGAGAACGAATTAATATTCTCCGTATTCACTCCAGTTTCCTAATACTAGCACAGATAACACATAATCATACTAGTTAATTTTTTTATTGGAATAGCAGTAATTTTTATTAGAAGGCACAAAAAAATTAAAAATCTAAAATTTTATTTTCATAGCTACGTTTTTATAGCCTTAGGATGCCTCATGTACTAACGAATACGAAATATATAATCAATACATATTTCTTTAAATATCGAGAAATAAAATATGTTTTGGCAACAAGGTACGAAATATCGCCGCGCGTAGTCCTCAAAATTTAAAATATTAGCATTTTCAGGCTTCGATTATGTTCAAAAGCGCCACCGTGTGACAAATCATTAAAGCTTCCACACGAGAGTTCTTAAAACTATAATATTCTTTGGTTCTAGTCATTTCTGGGAAAACAGGAAGTGGCCAAAAACAATTGAATACGTCAATCATTCCTAATTTATGTCATATACTAACATAACAAATCTCGTTTTTTTTTATCAGAAAAAAATAAAAAAGTTATATGGGTGAGTTTACTATAAAATGCTTCAATAGACTACAAAATTATATTCGCAAAAATATCGCAAATCGCATCCCCTAAAAATTCAAACTCGCAGATAGAAATCACGGTCCCAGTTTACAAAATCACAATCGCAGCAAAATCGCAATAAAGTCGCAAATCGCAGCTATAGTGATATTGGTTGCTTAAATTGAAACTCGCAAATAGATTAAATCGCAATCGCAGATTCCTATGAGAGCCAATTGCAGGTTCCGAATGCGATTTTCAAATCGCTGCGATTGAATCACAGTTAACGGTTTCTGCTACACAATTAAGACCCGAGATTTTTTCAAAAAATTCATTGAAAATTTTAAATGTGTTGACATTCCCCATGATAAAAACTTTTGTGCCGCATTCTGCATTACTAATAATTCTAGGAAAAGAAACGGAGAATATTTATTTTAATAAAAAGACTGAGTTAACAATACTCACACGGCAGCACAAACTATTGGCCAACACCACCGAACCATCACCGAAAAACGAACTCGCGTGAATCAGTCAAGAAATAGTGATTTTTGTGAATCGAACCACACAATTCAATTTCTCATATTGTATAATGTAAACAATGTAACATTTATTAAAGCTTGTCCAACGATTCAGGCAAGATTTCGATAGACGGCATGCAAAAAAACGACAGAAAATACAATTTGTCCGTTAATTAAAATGACAGATACTACTGTCACTGTCAGGGATGCTCTCGTTGGAAAGACTAAACAGGCCCTGCGCACTCTCCGCGAAACGTCAAACCACGAAATTAGTACGACTTCAAGACACCATGCGCTAGTGTCGCCTGGCGGGAGAAAGCGACAGCCAATAAGAATTTTTCTGTTTTATGATTGGTACCTGCTCAAAAGAGAGGCGACCGGCTGAATTTTAAAATTCTTCAGTCTATCACTGTCGTCCTTTGGGCTTGTTCGTGGTTCGATCTAAATTTTTGTAATTGTTACGAAGTGTCATTCTGTTCACTTTTTAGAAATGGTGTTATATTGCTGTGTTTTGGGCTGTAAATCCTCTAGTAGATCGTCGATTTTGCATAGTATGCCAATGCATAAAGAGGTAAGTGTACTTATGTTTTTGGTCGGTTTAAAATTCGTATATGTAGTATTTTTTAGGGTTATGCAAGTCCAGGAGTCACAATTATATGTATATGTATTTTAAAAAAATAAAGTAAAACATAACCTTTATAAAGTTCAATTTTTTATTGCTTTTGTTGATAAATATTGTTTATATTATAATGTAAAATGTCTGTATAATGTGTATGTCTATAACGTAAGGTACTAATCTATATAACGAATTATTTTTTATTCAAATGTTGAATGGATAATATTATAGTATTATTTGATGATTCTTAATAAAAAATATTTGTTTCATATTGGTTTTTGTATTATTGTTCCATATCAGTCTTATTAGAAATATTATATACATATTGCTTTTTTTCTAAACGTGAAAGAATTAATACTGTTTTTTTAAGTTTTCTGTAAAATAAAAGTTATATTTTACAGAAAACTAAAAAAAAACAGTATTAATTCTTTCACGTTTGGTAAAAAAGCAATAATGCAATTAAATTTTAAATTCCCAGCACCTGACGGGAAAAATGAAGATTTAGTACGTCTTCAACTAACCGAGCGCTGTAAAACGCGTTCTCGATAAATGACGAGAGTTGCCAATCTAAATGTTTGTGGTCTGTGGGCTAAACATTAACTTACCGCCTTAATGCTTCCAATTGCTTCTCCAGGTTTGTTTTCGGCGGCAATTGTGAGGGCGCACGCTCTACCGAACACAACCAAATCCAATAAGGAATTGGCACCCAATCGATTAGCTCCATGAACGGAACACGAAGCCGCCTCGCCGCAAGCATAAAGACCCGGTACTACCACGTCTTCGTCGTTACAATTCGTAAGAACCTAAGAATATACACCATATGAAATTTTAGTATACAGGGTGGTCCGAACTACATTCCGGAAACTTCGGCAACATATTCTGTAGATAAAAATAAGTAAAAAAAGTTCGCATAAATGTATGTATGTCCGAAAATGCTTAGTTTCGGAGATACAGGGTGTAGAAGTTTTATTTTTATTTCGATTTTTTACAAATAATTTCTGAAGTAGCTTCTATATTTGGATGAAAATTGGTATCTGGCAGTTTTTTTGACATGAGAAATTTGATTTTGATGTCAATATGACTCCTATTTGTAGGGGGCGCCACTTACATGTGTTTTAACTGTTTTGAAGAGATGATTTGATAACTTTTCGTACGTACCAAACTGTGTATCAAACTAATGAGTGAAAAAATATACAATTACGTGATATTTTACATAAAAAATGTCTCTTGGTAAAAATCGCTAAGAGCAAGTTCTCAAGGTATTTAGAATGGAAATAGTCAATACATATTGTTACGTTTTTCGTCGGTTCCGTGTGGATAGAAAGTCACAATTTATTTAAACACTATTTATTTAACACTAATTAACAAAAACAATAACGATAAAAGACTTATAGAACTATTTACAAACGATTTATAACTAAGAATTTATTTTGAATTTTAGCGCGTCAACTGCACTGGTATATTTATAACTGCCCCCTGTAGGCCACAGCCGCCGGCTTTTATACCGACAGGTAAAGAACACTAGAATAGTCCATAGATCGTTAGGTGCGTAGAGAAGGTTTTCGAATGTTCTCGTATGTACTAGTCCATTCCAGTGGGACTCGATTCTTCTCGAACGAATGAATCATTACGGTGTCTATTCTTTAATGCGATGTTAAGGTCATCTGAGGGCGGGACATATAGTTAGGTTAGGTCGAGTCCACACGGGTCCGCAACAATATATATGTCATCATTGACAAAAAATAAATATATTGAGTAGATAGTTATTTGACCGAAATGATAAATTTGGGAACTTTTTATTTTTTTAAATTAATCATAATTTTTTTTCGAAAAAAATATAAAACAGTTTCTGTTGAACTTTTGGTAAGAAAAAATTTCAAATTTATGATTTCAGTCTAATAACAACTAATAACTATTTAGTCAACATGCTTAATTTATGTCAATGATGACAGGTATTGATCATTTAGATTCAAAATATCTCGAGATCCATTACTCGTAGCGATTTTTACCAAGAGAACTTTTTTACATAAAAAACGCCGTAAATGTATATTTTTTGCTCAGTAGTTTTATACAGGTACGGACGAAAAGTTATTAGTCTTCAAACCAGTTAAAAGATATGTAGGTGGCGCCCTCAATAAGTAGTAGTCATATTGATATCAAAATCAAATTTCTCATCAAAAAACTCCCAGACGCCATTTTTTATCCAAATATTGACGTTAGTTCAGATATTATTTGGAAAAAATCGAAATAAAAATATGTAACTTCTACACCCTGTATTTCCGAAACTAAGCATTTTAGGACATACAATTATACGAACTTTTTCGCTTATTTTTATCTGCAGAATATGCTGCCAAAGTTTCCGAAATATAGTTCGGACCACCCTGTATATTAACTTATTACTAAAAATAAGGGTAATACAAACATTCAATTAGTTTGATTCAATCTTTTTTTTTATATTATATTTAATTTGTAGGCAAGTACCATTGAATAAAAATACTTAGTGGGTTAATACTTCGAGTAATAAATGAGTCCTAATCTTATCCTTAACGTCAACCCTAAGAAATTAACCTTAAGAACTTAAGGAAATGCCATTCATCATATAAAACTAAAATTGGGAGATAAAAAAATGAGCTTCAATGATGTCGCTTTCTTAGTTAATGTATGACAGAAATAATATTGACATTCCTTCCTTTGTTTTGTTTGTGCCAAAAAGTTCACAACAAATCGAAATAAATTTTTTTTAAAGTTTATAAATAATCAATTCAGCTCTCCAAAAAAGGATTTTTTGGAGAGATGAATCCGCCACATAGGTATAGACATTTTTTATAATCAATTCAGAATGCCTAACAAAAAATAATTTTTGTCATGACGACAATTTACAAAAATACCTATTTAATATAAAAAAGTCGGGTTATACGACTAAAAAAAATTCCCATTCAAAATTTTTGGTACACAATGTAGAAAAAATATACTTAAAATAAAAAAAATACTTCAAAGAAAAAACAAGCAAGAATTTATTTTAATCTTGGAAAAGAAATTGAAAGTATTTGTGTTTGTTTAAAAAATGGTGGCAAAAAAACAGATAAAACGATCATGGTTTAGGTACCTGTCCTTTGTAGTTGGTAGGAACACCGCCCATATTGTAATGCACAGTTGGTAATACTGGAATTGGCTCTCTCGTTACATCAACTCCCGCAAAAATCATCGCTGTTTCCGATATACCGGGTAACCTTTGATGCAGCTGTTCAGCTGGCAAGTGATGTAATTGCAGAAATACGTGATCTTTTTCTGGACCACAACCTCTACCTATAAGATAAATAGAAAACAAAATGATCTAAAGCTTGTGGAAAATATCGAATTATTAAAATTTATGAAGACGTCGTCTTTAAGGCATATTCAACTGTAAACCAAGGATACTCTTATATCAAATATACAGGCCTGATTATTACAAAACCGTAGCTATTTTTGTAGTAAGTGATCTAAATTGAAGGGTCAGGGGAACTTGATAAGTGCCAATTTCTTAATTTTAGGATTTTACAATATTATAGTAGGTCTAACTAGTCTGTATAAACTACAAACTGTATAAACTCTGCAGGGCAATCAGTTGTTAAATTCAATGATATAGTCTATAAAATGAATAACTTTGAATTTTGACCGTTATTTTTTACCAACATGGTAAATATAAAATTCCTCTGTCAAAAAAGTTACTGATATTCTTTAAATTGAGTGCCTGAACGAATCAGATAGGTAACTCTTTTTACTTTCGTGAAATAGAAAAGGAAAATAATAAAACAAGTGACAGTTGCTCTTCTTACAAAAATCAACACAATTGTCAAAAGTAAAATCTCATCAGCTTTTGACATTTCTAAATATCAGACCAATGCCGTCTCTAATAGAACAGCCTCGGAGCGAGATTTATGACGTCACGCTAGTTAGATACTACGGATTAATAAATAAATTGTAGAATACATGGAAAACATAATAATTCCTCGTATTTTTGGTTTGTATTTTAAAAATGATATAGTTTACATGAAATATACATATAATATACAGTTAATAAATACAATATATATACCTATTTATAGTAATAAATAACTTTGGCAAATAAATTATGAACCATACAAATGCAGCAAATGTTTTACAATATACAAATAATGAATAGGTACATGAGATAATGGGTAAAATGTAAAATATATTTTAAATTTTGGGGTTTGAAAATCGATCTAATTTAACAAAAAACATTCAATATCTACTAATAGTGATGTATTATTATCTGCATTCACAAAATGTATATGTATATTTTGCAAGTATCAATGTTCGAAAAATTATATTTGCAAATAATACAATATCATAGAAAAAAAGGCTGCAGCGATGGCTATAAAATAAAGATCGCTGTCATTTTGTATGTAAAATTATTCTAAAATTTTGTATTTTCTTGGGATTTAGGTTCGGGAAAAACGCTGATTAAGTTTTCATTTGTTTTTCATTATTTTTTTTGGTTAAAAAAACGTTTCGGCTAACATCATAGCCTTCATCAGTGTTGTGTCATATGAAAAAAATAGTGTCGAATATAATCCAAAAAATTACATATAAAATATTCACACCACATAAGGTTTACTGCAATTAATTAACTAATATAAACTTGTCAAAAGATGACCACGTATTTTTTTAAATTATTATTCTTAAAACTAAAACTATCTACATTGACTATGGAATACGATTTCAGCCATAGTAAGTAGTAGATATTGAATGTTGTTTGTTAAATTAGATCAATTTTCAAACCCCAAAATTTAAAATATATTTTACATTTTACCCATTATCTTATGTACCTATTCATTATTTGTTATTGTAAAACATTTGCTGCATTTGTATGGTTCATAGTTTATTTGGTTTATTTGCGAAAGTTATTTATTTCTATAAATAGGTATATATATATTGTATTTATTTTTTTATATATATATATATATATATATATATATATATATATATATATATATATATATATATATATATATATATATATATATATATATATATATATATATATATATATTTATATGTAGTATTTAACTAGCGTGGCGTCATAAATCTCGCTTCGAGGCTGTTCTATTAGAGACGGCATTGCGTCAGCATGGCCGCAAGTTCGCTAACCTAATAAAATTAACATATATAAAGCCCGCATGGGAATATGTAAATTCATATATATTTATATTTATATGTAGTATTTAACTAGCGTGGCGTCATAAATCTCGCTTCGAGGCTGTTCTATTAGAGACGGCATTGCGTCAGCATGGCCGCAAGTTACTAACCTAATAAAATTAACACTAGAAAAGCCCGCGGGAACTGTCAAATTCAAAGTTATTCGTTTCACAGACTATATATGCCTAGAAAAATATAGAATAGACGGAAAGAACTAGATAACCACCAGCCGTCCAATGATCTGTAAAATTAGTAAAATGGCGCTTATCATGTTTTTCCCCTTGACCCTTCAATTATAATAAAATATTCTGAACTAATCTACCTTCTCTGATCTCGATGGTCATACTTCTGGAGACCACATCTCTGGAAGCCAGATCCTTGGCTACTGGAGCGTACCGCTCCATAAATCTCTCACCCTGTGAGTTTATTAAGTAACCACCCTCACCTAACAGTTGAAGTAAAATAGGAAAAACACTGTTTTAAATTAGAGACAAGGGAACATCAGATTATCTGTTACCTCTGCAACCTTCAGTGATTAGACAGCCGGCACCATATATACCTGTAGGATGAAACTGGACAAACTCCAGGTCCTGGCTAGGCAAACCTGCTCTGGCCACCATAGCCGTACCGTCACCTGTACATGTGTGAGCTGAGGTACACGAGAAGAATGCGCGACCGTACCCACCAGTAGCTAGAATCTTATAAAAAAGTCGAATTAAATTATTTTAAAATAAATGAGCTAAGTCAAAATATAAGTAAACATATCTATGATTTCAAAAGATTTATTATTATTTTTTTTAAATTCGCTTGACATTATTATCTACAGTAGTCAAGAATACCAGCAGTAGTCGCAAATTAGTAAGTAGTTTTGTAAACTGCTTGAGAAGCAGTTTACAAAACTAGTTTTGAACCTAAGAACATGTAACATTATCGATGGCAAAAAACCTCTTATGACGTCTTTAGTGACAAATTTTTAAGTTATAAGTGAAGATGATTTACTATGCGAACCTGTAAATCTTTTTAAAACCACTGTTACTGAGGAAATAAATAGAAGATTCCAGTTGAATATTTAAAACGGTTTATCTCAAACTGTTACTTTTAATTTTATATGGTATTGTAAAGTATTTTTGTCTATGCCATATTCATAGCTCTGCATATAAATAATATTGGGTTTAAACCTTCATTGAATATTTTGTTAACATAATAAAACGCTTAATAACCCATTTATCGCACTGTAATCAACAATATTAAGCTTCAAATTTAGTCCAGAAACAATATAACAAATTCTACTTATTATACGTATTTATTCCAGGTTTTTAGACTCTGGATTCATATTACTGCCACTCAATTTTTATGTTCATCATAAGTGATTTACAATCCCGCCTACACCTTGTCAATGTAATATACAACTTTAATACACAAACGTAATAAAAAGATTATACACTGTAGGTAGATTCCTAAAAGTAAATTATGAAATTACCACAATACTATAATGAATAGCTTCCTTATTAGTACTTAATAAAAAAATAACACTAATAAATTGATTAAAGTAATATTAAATTTGTAGTTGCGCTCACAGCTTATTCACTACCAGCTGGTCCTAACTAACCTAACCTTCGCTTATTTTAGGGTAGTAGGTAGTTAGAGCACAAGTCTCGACCGTTTCTATAAAAGCAAATTCAATAATTGATATCCTAGTGATGGGATAACTCGAGCGAAAATTCGCTCGAGTACTCGATTATTGAAATAACCGACATTGCTCGATTATGAACGAGCGATGCAAGTGACGAGTACCAAGCGACGAACTCAAGCGATCCTAGAATGAAACAAATTGAAATCCGATTTTAATGTGACATACTCGATAAAAAGCCGAGCGAATTTTCTACATACATTGCAGGTAGCAAATTTATACGACGCCGTATATGTATTTATCCGTTGCGTATCTGAGGGACAAAATTTTACGACCTACATCGACAATGCTTTGAAATAAACTAAATCAAGCGATCAAGCGAATCGCTCGCCGCTAGATACTTGCCATTCATCACAGAAAGAATATGTACCCTGCGCACGCAACTTACTGCTTGGCGTCAACGAGTACTTACAACAAGCGACGGGTGAAAACCCGTATTTTTAAATACGAGTGATATTTCGCTCGAGCGATAACTCGGTTATTGCAATCGCTTGAAACTCGAGTACTCGATTATTGAAATAACCGACATCGCTCGATTATGAACGAGCGATGCAAGTGACGAGTACCAAGCGACGAACTCAAGCGATCCTGGAATGAAACAAATTGAAATCCGATTTTAATGTGATATACTCGATAAAAAACCGAGCGAATTTTCTATATACATTGCAGGTAGCAAATTTATACTTCGCCGTATATATATATTTATCCGTTGAGGGACAAAATTTTACGATCTACATCGACAATGCTTTGAAATAATCTAAATCAAGCGATCAAGCGAATCGCTCGCCGCTTGCTACTTGCTATTCATCACAGAAACAATATGTGCCCTGCGCCCGCAACTTACTGCTTGGCGCTTGGCGTTAACGAGTACTTACAACAAGCGAGGGGTGAAAACCCGTATTTTTAAATACGAGTGATATTTCACTCGAGCGATCACTCGGTTATTGCAATCGCTTGAAACTCGAGTACTCGATTATTGAAATTAATCGGTTTTTCCCATCACTAATCAAAACCCGACTTGTTACATAAAATAAGCGAATATTGCGATTAAGTGAGAATAATAGACAATTTTTAACAAAATACTTACCGTGTTTTTCGATCTAAATCTATGAATAGTACCATCTTCAAGGCACAAAGCTATTACTCCCCTACATTCTCCATCTTCCATAATGAGATCTAAAGCAAAGTATTCCACAAAATAATGGCAATCGTATTTCAAACTTTGTCCGTATAAGGTGTGCAAAAGACTGTGGCCAGTTCTGTCCGCTACGCAACAACATCTGGAAAAAGGCACCTATTCAAGAGTCGCCCTAAGTTTCTTATTCTAAAACAAACTTATCCCACCTGTGCGCTTGGCCGCCTTTGCCGAACTTCAACGACTGTCCTCCGAAGGCTCTCTGGTATATTTTACCCTCGGTCGTTCTAGAGAAAGGCATGCCGGTATTTTCTAATTCGATGACGGCTTTGGGCGCTTCCCGAGTCATGTAGTGGATGGCGTCTTGATCGCCGAGCCAATCGGAACCCTTCACGGTGTCGTACATGTGCCACTGCCATTGATCTTCTTCCATATTTCCTATTAATATTGATTACATTTATTTAGTCATAATATATCACGTAAAACTTTAAAATTAAATGATGTTTATTTACATAGTTGACAAGATGTTTGTAAATTCCGTTACAAACATCTTTTTCTATTCTCTGCCTGTCCAGCTAAAAAATATATAACCCTGACAGAAGTTACACAGACACCCTTGAAATAATTAAAAAAGACATTGTAACTGTTTACTACAGATGTAATAAAAATAAATGACTTGAATTATTAATTGTGTGATATACCAGCCTGATAATTCTAAATCCTGAATTTTAATGCGAGGTAGTTAACTTACACTAAAGGTGCAATATGATTGAAAAAAAACGGCGTCAGCGATGGCTATGAACTGAAGATCGCTGTCATTTTATATGTAACATTATATGGGGAATCATCCCTATCATACGGTAGATGACTTACACTCTAATCAGTTGATATTAACAGACACAAAAAAGTGCAGAACCTCTGGTTTTTTACTGCTTTTATAAATGAGCAAAGTGGGAAATAAAATTTGAACTAAGTAGTTACGCCTTTAGACAGTAAATTTATTTGAGATATTAGAACTGTTAAACTATATACTAATTCTTGATATACAGGGTGTGCTAGGCTGAGTTTGCATTAGAAGTTTCTAGAGAGCCAAAATATCTATATCGGAGCTCACAGTGAGATCTCTCGATTAAAAGTATTTTCAATATGGCGACACATCCGGAAGTATGACAACATTCTTATTTTAAGTTGATACTCTATTTTTTCTTATATTTTTTAATTCACTGCAAAATTTCATGAATTTTGATATGGAACACTCTATACCGGGTGCGTCTCAAAAGTGGCTCACACCTATAACTTTTTTATTTTTTTCAGATAAAAAATCGAGATTTGGTAGGTATGTTAGTATATAACATAAATTAGGATTGATTGACGTATTTAATTGTTTTTGGTCACTTCCTGTTTCACCAGAAATGACTACAACTTTTGATTTTTAAATGGCACCCACGATATTTTTTTACTTTATTCTATAGAAAATGACATTGTGAACAGAATGATATATGATATGTCAAAATTTGACATTCTCGCTTAATAAAAAATTGTATTTTAAATTTCAATCTAGAGTGCCATGGTTATGTTAAAAACACTAATTCTTAATCAAGGAGCCTTGGAAAAATAGATTTGATCGTCTAATATTTTTAGTGTCTTGTCCTGGCCAGTTAGAAAATGCCCAAATCGTATTTTTAATTATATCTCAATTTTTTCAAATGGAACGAGGGTGGCTCATTAGCATATTTGGAAATAGCATTTTTTTACAATAATTTGATACCACACACTTATCATAATTTGATACCACACTACTTCTGATTTTTGCTTCTGTTACCCTATCTACATCTCTTCTACAATTAAAGGCAGGCAGCCACTGCGAGCGTAACTAAACTAAGCTAAGAATATGAAAACAAACGGTAATTAAATGGGAACTCCACTGGGAACGATTTTCGCTCAGTAGTCAGCTAAGTTTTCGTATTGTATCTCTGCTATCATAGAACTAATCGCTGCGAAAAATTCGCTGGAACCTGTCACGAACTAAAACGAACGAAACTAAACTACGATTCGAATCTTCGTTCATATATTTTCGTTTTGTTTCGCTCAAGTAGCCGCTGACGCATTAAAACGTATGGAAGCTGATTTTTACAAATCTTATCTCCGCTTAGTTTAGTTTCGCTCGCAGTGGCCGCCTGCCTTAAGACCAGAATAAGACAAATCTATCGACACTGGATACCTTATAACGGGTGCGTCTCAAAAGTGGCTCACCCCTATAACTTTTTTATTTTTTCAGATAAAAAAAACGAGATTTGGTATGTTAGTATATGCCATAAATTAGGATTGATTGACTTATTCAATTGTTTTCTGTCACTTCCTGTTTCGCCGGAAATGACTACAACTTTTGATTTTTAAATGGCACCTTCGGTATTTTTTTACTTTATTCGATAGAAAATGACATTCTGAATAGAATGACATATCATATGTCAACTTTTGACATTTTTGCTTAAAACAAAATTGAATTTTAAATTTCAATCTAGAGTGCCATGGCTGTGTTAAAAACACTAATTTTTAATCAAGTAGCCTTGGAAAAATAGATTTGATCGTCTAAATGTTATTCGTGTCTTGTCCTGGCTGTTTAAAAGATACCCAAATCGTATTTGTAATCATATCTCAATTTTTTCAAATAAAACAAGGGTGGCTTATTAGCATATTTGGAAAAAGCATTTTTTTTACGAATAATTTGGTACTACACACTTGGTATTTCGAGTCAAATTGTCGTTATGAATCGCATGTTGCAATTTCTAATAAACCATATTCGAAAATGTCAAAGTTGACGTATGATATGTCATTCTATTCAGAGTATCATTTTCTATCGAATAAAGCAACAAAAAACCGAGGGTACCATTTAAAAATCAAAAGTTGTAGTCATTTTCGACGAAACAGGGAGTGACAGAAAACAATTGAATACGTCAATCAATCCTAATTTATGTCATATATTAACATACTGAATCTAAATTTTTTATCTGAAAAAATAAAAAAGTTATAGGGGTGAGCCACTTTTGAGATGCACCCGGTATGTTAAAACCCCAAGCAGGTTGAGCTACAGTGCATGCCAAAGAAATTTATATACATTATAGAATCGAAAAGCAGCAAAATGAACATTTAATTTGGACTATTCCAAATTTGCATCGGTTATAGCATCCCAAATTAGCAACATGAAGACCTACGTACCACACACTTAACCGTTTTTGAAAAAAAAAATACTTTAAATTTTTAAAGCAAAAATTTTGGAACCTATGGTGTTACAACAGCAAAATAAAACATTAATTCACTCCTAGTACCACAATACACCAAAACACTTTACATTTGCAGTGGTCGCTAACCATGTTAGCACCATCAACAGATGATAACTCATATCTACCAATTAAGCGTTTATATAGGCACTCAGTTGGCACCGACCAAGCGTGGTGAACCAACTGAGCATAACAATTAACTACCGAGACTTAGAGCAATAGGAATATGAACAGAGAACTGGATCATTGCAAAGGAATTGGATCGAAACGAAATATATTAATATTAAATATGTTATTTTATATATCGAATAATTCCATCCTTGACAATATTAACTTTACATTTATTAATTTTGACCCTCTCATATGCATCTAATTGCTTGTAATCTAATCCTTAAAATTGTAAAAATATATCATAATTTCACTTTTTTTCATTTGACTTTTAAAGTTATAGACTAAGCTAAAATTAAGAAAAAAATGTGCTTTTAAATTAAATACTAAATTACTTAAAAACATTTTTTGAAATAAAATAAAGCTTTTTGTTAATGAAATAAACATGTGTGAGTTTCTATTTGAAAAAATGAAATTTTTGATAAATTAATTCAATGACAGACAGAATCAGAATACATCAAGATAATAAAATTATTTTTAAATTCCTTGCTTTGTTAACGTACTTCACAGGGTGTTTCAAACTTTTACGAAAATATCCACATTTTGTTTTCCCTCGTATAATAAATAAATAAATAAATTAAATAGGTACTTTTATTTCAAACCAACTAAATAAAATATTATATTTTCAAATAACAAATATAGCATCATTAAATCGCAACACGTCTCAATATGTTTGTATTTAAATTTAAAATATTTTAAGCGTGTTGACAAACATTTTAGGCAATTTTATAAGAAACAATTTCCTTAATGTGCTTTGTATATACACTCCTGCTTATTGTATATCTCGAAAACAAAAAATACCCTCTCTTATTTCAATAATGTATATAGTACTAGATCTATGTCACCGCTTCGCGTACCCCTGTATTCAAAAACTCATACACAGAGGACAGTGACTTATTTTGCTCCTAAACTTTTTAATATGCTTCCAGATTGTATTAGAAATTCTTTAAATAATAAACGAAAATTCAAATCCCTTACTGAATCATACGTTCATGATAATTATTCATCGCTTCTGTATATATTTAATACTATTTAACTTTAAAAGTTGATTGTATCTGTCTGTATTTTTTTCTCTCTTATTTCCTTTTTTTACTAGATACTCTCTTATATTACTAGTTTTTATTACCATTGACAAATTACTTATTACAAAAAATGTGTGTCAATTTTTAACATCGATTTTCATCAATCGTCCAGGTCGCCGCGCCCGCGCCACCTTGTCCCCGTCTTCGCTCCCGCTTGAAACTCGCCATCTTTAAACTCAGATACATGCTTTTGCAACACAAGTTAAGCCCCGTTCTCAGAACGACGTCGTGTCGCTGGCGACACAGTTTGACATTTCAAACAACCAATGGGAGCTGTACTAAATTTAAAATTGACAGCTGTTTGAATTTTGTACAAATCTCATTGGTCCTCTTGACGTGTCGCTGGCGACAGTCGCTGTTCTGAGAACGGGGCTTTAAAGGTGACATCAGAGTATCTAAACCGACGAGTAGCGACAGTCCCGTTTTCAATTTTCTTTGCGGCTGCGCGAAGTAAGTAACTTATCTGTCATACGAAGAAGCGAAGTTGCCACTGTTGCCATTTATCAAATATCTCTATATACTTTATTTCAAGTATACCTCAGGCAACGAATCGTTTTTTTAATTATTTATTAGCAGTAAGATATTTTATACATTCAAATTTAGAAATAAGGATAAAACAAAACAAAAAAGATATGTATAAAACGTTATAATTAATTCCACTTCAAATTGTGAGCAGTGTATACCATTAGGACCACTTCATAAGTTGAGCAGTTAAATACGTAGTCTATCTGTCAAACACGTCAAAAGAGAGAGAAAGAAAATTTGGTCCCACCACATCAAAAGAGCCGACGGTTTCTGTCGCTACTCGGCGATCTACGTACTCTGGTGACATCTTGTGTTCCCTTCACTTAGCGCAAAAGCATGTGTCAGTACATTAATATATTTTGTTATAAATACACGAAAACCTAATAATAAAAAAATGTATTGTACTTATTTTATGAATTGTATTGTATTGTATATAGAAATAAAGTTTGATTTGTTTGTTTGTAATAAAAATAATTTTAATGGATATATTATCTATAATTATAATAATTGACAGATGGCAACTTTTATTTTTAATTTAGAAAGAGTTACTAAAAAGTAGAATAATTTAGCTACAATTTGCTTAAAAAAATCATCAAAATCGGTCCTCTAGAACACTAGGTATATATAAAGCTTTAAAATAAATGAAAAATTTAAGGGGCCCGTTTTTCGTGCCCTAAGTATATATCCTTTTGCTACACAGACTATACCTATTAGGAAAAATAGAATAGATATTCTATGTTTTGAAATAATAATTTCTTAAGATTTTATATCTCAATGTGATTAGAAATATACAAAACATAAAACATTAAAAAAATTGGAAGGGGGCATTTGTTTATGCTTTAATTAATATAAAATATGATAACATTTATAAAATCAAATGCTTCATTAAATGGAAAAAAATATTAATTAAATGATTAAGCATTTGTTTACTGTTTTTGAACTATTTATGTCACTGATTTTCTGAGAAATAGTATTATCTTGTGATCCTTGAGCTGTTGTAATCACAATGGAATCACTTACTGTCTAGAGTTTTTAGGTAGTGTTATTTCAAATCTTTGACATTACTTGTCTCTGACATTACATGGACATTACTTACATAAGCAGAATTTTTCCATACAGGAAAAAACCTGTCATGTTACTAAACAATAAACATTTAATAAATATGGTAATAGTCTCTCACTTACCTAAGGCAGCATTAATACCACCTTGCGCTGCTACAGTGTGAGATCTAGTAGGAAATAATTTTGTAATTACCGCAGTCTTGAATCCCTCTGCCACCAAACCAAATGCTGCCCGTAAGCCTGCTCCACCAGCCCCAACAACCACTGCATCATAAGTGTGGTCGACTATAGGGTAGGCTTTTGAACTTGCATCTGAACACTTGGCATTATTTCGGTCTACATTAAGGTGCAAGGATCGAGAACATATTGGAGTAATGCTTGTCTAAAAAAATACCAACTAAATACAATATTATATTTTCAAATATAGCATCGTTACTTAGCAAGACGTCTCAATATGTTTGTATTTAAATTTAAAATATTTTAAGCATGTTGACAAACATTTTAGGCAATTTTATAAGAAACAAATTTCCTTAATAAAAATAATTTTAATGGATATATTATCAAAGTATATAATAAAATATATGTTGCATCATTGCGTGCAAAGAAAGATTTACGAGTAAATAAAATATAATTTAAAAAAGTTACATAACAAAAACTATAGGTTACCTGTCGCAGGTACAATATTACCTTGTTAAATCCATTATTTGCAACACCCCTAACAATAAACGACTGCAATTTTAAGATACTGCTCATATTCGGTAACTATATTTAATTAAATATTTTGCGAATCAACGAACAGCGATATAAATTTTCCTGCCAAACGTCCTGCGAAAAAAAAGGAACCAAGCCCAACTTGAAATTTTTACACTGGCAGCCAATCAGCTGACGGTTCTGAAAATTCCAAGGACGCCGGCAACAATATTACCGAAAAATTATGAAATTTATCTGTTTGTTACTTATTTTTCGATATACAAATAAAAAATTCAATAAGAGTAGATATTAGACTAGATAAAATTAAAATTATTTTATATAAATCCTGTTAAAAAATCATTTTTCTTTATTATTTTATACAGCAGAGAGCTGTTTTACTGGTTGCCTACACTACTCAAATACTAAATATTTGACAAGTAGACACAAGATTCACATTTCTACAGGATGGTCAAAAACTTATAACAACTGTACTGTGCAAGCACTGTGCCAGTAACCAGGAAGTACCTGTTCCTATTAAAGGCTATTACTAATAGCAGATATAACATACAATTCTCTTCTGTGATAACATACAAATTGTATGATTATGCTATGCAAATCGCATTCCAAAAGAGCATAATGTTATATTCTAAACTAGGTGGCTAACAATTATACAGTTTCTAAAATATGATCAAATGGCTCTTTTTATACTAAACTTACCAACTTACCGCTTATTTAACTGTTTGATACTTCTTAACTGGCAGTATCGTGTTTGTTCAAAATTCACTTTTTATAAAGAAAATTCAGCTACTAACTAATTTCATGTTGTATTGGATGTTGTATGGTTATTATGGTTATATACAGTGTGTAACTTGGCTCTATAATTTATAACAAAATAGTTATTCTTGCCATAAGAAGCTGTGTATTTCTAGTATCCCAATCATCACAAGCGCCCCTAACGGCGATTTTCGAACTTCATTTAGATCTCAAAAACTGGGCCCATAATTTTTGCGTTCGATTCGCCTCCTCCTTTTAGACTCCATAGTTTAGTTACGCCACTGAAGGTGTTAATACATCACTTCCTATTCTTCCGAGCTTTTGAAAATGGTTGATTCGTTTTTTGAAAATAACACAAGACTATTCTTTTGTCTTTTAGAAATAGTTTTTAATAAATAATTAACTTTAATTAAAAATTATTTATATACCGGGTGCGTCTCAAAAGTGGCTCACCCCTATAACTTTTTTATTTTTTCAAATAAAAGACGAAATTTGGTATGTTTAGTATATGACATAAATTAGGACTGATTGGCGTATTCAATTGTTTTCGGCCACTTCCTGTTTCACCGGAAATGACTACAACTTTTGATTTTTAAATAGCACCCTCGGTATTTTCTTATTTTATTGGACAGAAAATAACACTCTGAATAGAATGACATATCATATGTCAACTTTTGACATTTTCGAATATGGTTTATTTAAAATTGCAACATGCCGTTCATAATGACAATTTGACTCAAAATACCAAGGGTGTGGTATTACATTATTCGTAAAAAGATGCTTTTTCCAAATATGCTAATGAGTCACCCTCATTCCACTTGGAAAAATTGAAATATGATTAAAAATACGATTTGAGGATCTTTTAACCGCCCAGGACAAAACATCAAAAACATTAGACGATCAAATCTATTTTTCCAAGGCTCCTTGACTAAAAATTTGTCTTTTTAACACAACCATGGCACTCTAGATGGGCATTTAAAATACAATTTTGTTTTAAGCCAAAATGTCAAAAGTTGACATATGATATATGTCATTCTATTCAGAATGACATTTTCTATCGAATAAAGTAAAAAATACTAAGGGTGCTATTTAAAAATCAGAAGTTATAGTCATTTCCGGTGAAACAAGAAGTGGCCGAAAACAATAATTGAATACGTCAATCAATCCTAATTTATGTCATATACTAGCATACCAAATCTCGTTTTTTATCTGATAAAATAAAAAAGTTATAGGGGCGAGCCACTATTGAGACGCACACGGTATAACTTTTTATTAAAAAAAATATTAATGATAAATGAATTAAAGTAATTTAAAATATCTTTAAATCTTTAATTATTTACCTAATACTAATTGCAACAGAAAGTTATTCAATAGCTTTTTGTTAGTAGAATCAATTCAGATCCAAAAACCGAAAACTGGATACCACATCACCAGTTTGGGTTTCGAGAACGACATTCCACTATTCAGCAGATACATCGGATTACCAGCAATATAACTCAAACTCTTGAGGACAAAAAGTATTGCACATCAGTGTTTCTTGATGTTAGTCAGGCTTTCGACAAAGTATGGCATACAGGACTACTTTACAAAATTAAAAATTATCTTCCCATGTCCTACTTTCCGATATTGAAATCCTACCTAAATGGTAGAGTGTTTAGAGTCAGGATAGGTGAGGATATATCTGAAAATCATAGCATAAATGCAGGTATTCCACAAGGTAGTGTCTTAGGACCACTACTCTATGTCCTTTTTACAGCAGACTTTCCCACAAACAATAAAACAACAACGGCTACTTTTGCAGATGACACAGTAATTATGGCTGTCAATCATCTGTCAACAAAAAGCCGGAAACACAGCTTCCTTGATATTACAAAGACATCTAAACTGTGCATCTAAATGTAATAGAGGCATGGTTACGTGATTGGAAAATAAACATTAATCCATCAAAATCGGCCCAAGTAACTTTTACTTTAAATAGAGACCAGTGCCCTCCAGTATATTTAAACAACACACTAATTCCGCAGTCTTCCTCTACCAAGCATTTAGGCATGCACTTGGATACTAAGCTTACCTGGAAAGAACACAGTAAAGAAACGTAAGCAAATAGATTTAAAAGACTTATATTGGTTAATGGGAAGAAGATCCAAACTATCGCTAGAGAATAAACTTCTTTTATACAAAACCATAATAATACCTATTTGGACATATGGAGCAGAACTCTGAGGTTGCGCTAGTAAATCAAATATAGCCATAATACAAAGGAGCCAATCTAAAATTCTACGGATAACAGACGCACCATGGTATGTCTCCAATCATACTATACATGAAGATTTAAAAATTCCGTACGTCAAAGAAGTCATCCAAACTCGGAGTAAAAACATTTCATTAGACTACACGATCACACCAATACCTTACTTCAGCCTCTACTTGAACCAGTACCTACAAGAAGACTTAAAAGACAATGGTCATCTGATTTGAAAGAATATTAAGTAGGATTTTTCACTGGAGAAGACCTCATCACGTTAACTGGAGCGTCATTGCTCTCAAGTCATCAAATTAGCCCATAGAATTTCCTTGCAAATATTCTGATTGCTAATAAATCATAATAAAAAAAATAGCTTTTTGTTAATAAAATATACATTAAAAACATCAAAAAGATTCATTTTTGATCTTAATTTGACTTAATTGCAAGTTCAAAGATTAAAAAATATCATTACTAATTAGATTAAATATTATTTGAGAAATCCATATTAAAGAAAAAGCCATATTACTGATTTAAATACATTTATTGTAAAACAAGTTAAAGCACTAACAAAACTCTCAGTCTTGTTAATAAAATTAAGGTAAACAAATAGTAAATAATATTTGGAATGGTTATCAACATATTTACTAGTCTGTATATAAAAGAAAAAAAAATCACAAATAATTTATCGATATATGCTATTAAATTTTCAGATACCTTATTTAGATATAAATTATTTAAATATTGTATTTTAATTCAACAGATACACTTTGGTAGACGATTGTACCCACAGAACACACTAAATTGTACCATATAATCATAACAATCATATTTAAATCGATCACAAATTCGAGTTTTATTTCAAGTTATCTTTAGTACGAACGTTTTATACCGTATAATCGAAAAAAAACGGCGTCCAGTTGGCTGGGAAATGAACATCAATGACATTTCCCATATAAATTTACATTTAAAATGACAGCGATCTTCATTCCATAGCCATCGCTGACGCCGTTTTTTCTCGATCATACGGTATATCTTTATCTATCGTTCTTTTTCAAAAAATATATAGAGATTGTTGAAAACTTCCAAGATGTTTATGATCTATTTAACTATGTTTATTATGATTATCAGATTATTTTTATACAATTTGTATTTCATAAATACAGAAAAAACGAGATTTCAAAAAAAATAAGTATCTGTAGAAAGAATTTTATTTCCTAGAATAATTTCTTAGTCAGTAAAAATAGTGTTAATAATTAGGTAAAAAAATAAGTAGAGTAAAAAACGGTAAAGCTTGTAAAATTTAAGTCGTTAGAAATAATTTGTGGGTGTTTGCATAAGCATATGCATTAATTGCACATGAGGAAAAACATAGCTGTGCTATACTGTACTTCCATTGACAAGTAAACAAGGACGATTTTTAGATGACCTATGATATTAGAGAAACTTATATATTTTAATATCTGCACTACTATATGATCGATAAAAGTAGACGCCGTTTTTTTTCGGTCTTTATACAGGGTGTGACAAAAAGTTCTAAAAAAATGGGAAACGTTTTCAATGAGTTATTTAAAAAAGTTGATACGGAATTACTTTGACATGCTTAATAATCATCTTAACAATATGCAACAACTTGTATGCCACTTTATGGGCATCATACGAACCTCAAAAACATTTTGAATGTCCATAGGTCATGTAAAAATAATCCTTGTTTATATCATATATAATTTAAATTGAGTAAAAAGACATATCTTGAAGAAATATATCACAAAACTAATCTCTTGACGCCACACTCGACGCAAAATTTTGCTGTATAAACGGGAAACTTCGTTCCGCATTCGTGGCAAAACTTCGACACCTTCGAGGATAAAGTGGCGGGAGATTGAGAACCATTTTCCGATCCGCTGGAGCTTAGAGTCTCGGCCATTTTCGGCTCTAGGGGGCTCAATTTCGGAGCTCGGCTTCGCTGTTTCGATGTTTTTCTTAGACTAAAAAAAGATCAATGTCAAAAAAATAGCAATAAAAATAGATTTCACATCGTATGCCTCAAATTTTGATATTGTTTATTGTATAGTCTATTTTAATTATTTTTTAACTTTTGGCATTCTTGTGTTATTTAAAAGACACATTTATTGAGTGGAGACCAGCTCTGCTTTTTACTACCAACTTATTTTTATTAAATGAATACCAATTTTTTTATTGCTTTTATGGATGGTTTGCGTTCCTTCATTATTAGTTAAATTTACGCGAAAAGAACTAACTGTATGATTATGAAAAGTAAAGTAAAGTAAAGATTTCAGTTAACGTTACTTTGTTTACGCGGAATCCGAACCGCGGTCCTCGGGCATATCATTGTCAATGACCTACCGACTTGCAAGTGTCTAAATCGACTCTTACTCACGAGATATCCGATCTCATCCAGCCTCGAATAGGGTTGCCAAGTTTTTCAAAAGCAAGGGGAGGACATTTCCCTGTTGAAGCGGGGTGAGGGGGACGGGGTATACAAATATTTGGATTGCAATACTGCATGAACGATTTATTGAAAAAAAAAACATTACAAAATACAGCCACGACAGTGAATCTTTGATTCACAGAAATAAACTAAAACTGAAATACCTATGCAGAAGCAATCTTGTTTATGACAGCTGAATGGGCGAAATAGCATCGAGATTAAAGAAAGTCAAAATAAAATGGAAACGATAAATTATTATAGGCTACAGAAAAATTATTATTTTGAGCACAAAATCATGGTTTAAGAAACTTTTTTGTCAAAGATTGTAAAAGGAGGACATTTGGGTGCAAAAGGAGGCAGGAGGACTTTTCTTCTAAAAGGAGGACTGTCCTCCCGAAAGGAGGACACTTGGCAACCCTAGCCTTGAACCGGCGTGAATGAGCAGTGTGTGTCAATAGATGTTACACTTTTGCCTTTTTTTGGACCACAGCAAGATACAGAGTTTCGAACCGGTCACCCGCCCATCCACTAGTATCGCCTTACGTCGCTTAACTTCGGTGTTCTAGTGGGAACCAGTGTTTCAACGTAGCTAGGCCGTTGCCATGATTATGAAAATTATCAAAAAGAAAATTTGTTAGCAGTTAGAATTTAGATAAAAAAATATACAAAAAATTTTTAAAGTCATTTTTTACTATTATCAGTTTCTTAAATAGGTAATTTAATTTTTGGTGAAATCTGTTCTCCAGAATAAAGAAACAGATTATTTAGAAAGTCCCTAAAATAATTCAAAATCTAAAAAAAGGAAAAATAATATTGCTCGTGTGTCGATTATATTATGTACCGCGGTTTGTTGTCCACATTTTTATTGTTCCGAATCATATCATAAAAGTCGACCATTATCCTTATCATTAAAACGCGCCAAACATTCCAATCATTTATTACATTTTCGTTTATTATCAGCTACGCTAATACGAATTCGAAAATATAAATATAGTACTAATGAAATCATACAGTAAAATCTTATGTATTTCGAATTTCTGAATAGCTATACCGGGTTCGTCTGAAAAGTGGCTCACCCTATAACTTTTTTTATTTTTTCAGTTAAAAAACGAGATTTGGTATGTTAGTATATGGCATAAATTAGGATTGATTGACGTATTCAATTGTATTCGGTCACTTCCTGTTTCACCGGAAATGACTACAACTTTTGATATTTAAATTGCACCATCGGTATTTTTATAAGATCGGCAAAAAAAATTAATAATACATAAATGACCTAAATACAAAATATTTTAATGGTGTCTGTCTGTCTGTCCGTCTGTCCGCCTGTAACACGATAACTCAAAAACTGCTAAACCGATTTTAACCAAATTTGGCACAAAAATACTGTGGCGCCCGAGAATCTGGCCATTAGTTTTTGGTGGTGGTGGGGGGTTGGTAAGGGGGTATGGAAGAGGATTAAAATTTTTAAAAAATCGTAACTCCAAAATTATAGTACCGCGGTTTTCAATTTAAGATTAGGAATAATATTTGCAACAAAATTTGTAATAACATCAACATCAGTCAAAGTCGTAGTTCTTGAGATAAAAAAAATTGGAAAAATTCCTTTACTTTGAAACTAAAAAAACTGCCTACCAATTTTTTATTAACATATTTTAGTATGGGTGGCTTAGGCCGGCGCCAATTTGTTTACTTTATTCAATAGAAAATAACACTCTGAATAGAATGACATATCATATATGTCAACTTTTGACATTTTCCCATATGATTTATTTGAAATTATAACATGCGGTTCATAACGCAAATTTGGCACAAATATCAAATGTGTGGTATCAAATTATTCGTTCCATTTGAAAATTGAGATATGATTAAAAATACGATTTGGGCATCTTTTAACCGGTCAGGACAAGACACTAAAAACATTAGACGATCAAATCTATTTTTCCGAGGGTCCTTGATTATAAATTAGTGTTTTTAACATAGCCATGGCACTCTACGATTAATACGATTTTTATTAAGCAAAAATGTCAAAAGTTGACATATTATATGTCATTCTATTCAGAATGTCACTTTCTATAGAATAAAGTAAAAAAATACCGAGGGTGTCATTTAAAAATTAAAAGTTGTAATAATTTCCGTTGAAACGGGAAGTGACCAAAAACAATTGAATACGTCAATCAATGCTAATTTATGTCATATACTAACATATTGTTGCGGACCGGTGTGGACTCGACCTAACCTAACTATATGGCCCGCCCTCGGATGACCTTAACATCGCATTAAAGAATAGACACCGTAATGATTCATTCGAAGATTCGAGAAGAATCGAGTTCCACTGGAATGGAGTAGTACATACGAGAACAATCGAAACCTTCTCTATGCACCTAACGATCTATGGACTATTCTAGAGATCTTTAGCTGTTGGTATAAAAGCCGGCGGCTGGGGTCTAGAGAGGGCAAGTATATAAATAGACGAGTACAGTTGACGCGCTAAAATTCAAAAAATAAATTCTTAGTTATAAATCGTTTGTAAATAGTTCTTTAAGTCTTTTATCGTTATTGTTTTTGTTAATTAGTGTTAAATAAATAGTGTTTAAATAAATTGTGACTTTCTATCCACACGGAACCGACGAAAAACGTAACAATATCAAATCTCGTTTTTTATCTGAAAAAATAAAAAAGTTATAAGGGTGAGCCACTTTTGAGACGCACCCGGTATACAGGACGGTTCAGTTTTTAGTAGTAGGACTTTGATTAGTAAAACTTATTTTTTAAAAAGATGATTCATTTTTCATTAAATTTTATATCAACGTAGCGTTAAAAAACAACGTAGTTTTAAAAATACAGAGTGCTGGAATTTTCATAAAGGTCGCTATTTTTATTGCACGTTTCTTTACAAATTTTCCATTATTATATTATTATTCCATTATCTCAAACATATTTCATTATCCCTCGATTCAAAATATCGCAAATACCGACAAAAATGACAGAATATAGAATCAGTGGCGTCGCCAGAGGGGGGCAGGGTGGGCCGGGGCCCACCCTGGATTAACTTGGGCCCTGTAATGGCCCACCCGCGCAATGTCCAGAAAATATAATCAACAACTATGATATGGTAAATTATCTGGCCCATCCGAATAAAACCTGGTCCCAGTGCTGGCCCACCCTGAAAAAAATATCTGGCGACGCCACTGAATAGAATCAACTTTTCAATTAAAATGGCCAGGAACGGAGATGGTTATATTATACGAACTGTAATAATAGGTAACTAACCTTCCATAAGCTGAGTCGCTCGATATTTTGTTTGTGGAAACGTTAGAGTGGTCTTCCTCCTCACTGGCTACCAGAAGTCCGTAATTGATATCAATATTTTTCTTTTTCGTTGCTTTTTTCGAACTGGCCTTTTGTTCTTTTTCTTTTAAGTACATTTCCTCGTATTTCTTGTACTCTTCGTACATCTCGTCATCAACAGAGAACAATTCTTCGGCTTTTAATGTGTCATTTGCAGGAGACTTCTGTTAAGAAATCAAAAAATATAATTCAAAGTAATATCCATAGATTAAATACAGCACTAAAAACAAACCTAACCTAAAACTGATAAAACTGATAAGACAACAAACTGATAAAAAACCAACCTAACCTAACTTAACAAACTATGAGGTTGCCGTCATACTGCATTACCATACATTTTCCAAAAAATTTACCATACATTTACCAAACCAAACCAAACAATTATAATCTAGGAAATATCTGCCAAAGAAAAATGCTGAAAAACCTTTACCCATTTTATATCTATTTCAGTATTAGCATCAGTTTGCTTCCATACGTGATTTTTTTCTAAGGTAACATAATTTTGAATTGATTGAATTCAATTGACGGAAATTTAAGGTTGATTCTCACTATACCTTCCATTTCCATTCCATATCCGTTCCATACTTTTTATTGTACGATTTAGGTATATCATTACGAAAGTTTTATTTTAAAAATTTGTATCTTTGAAAAAGGTAATAGATTTAATTAAGAGGTGAACGAATAAATAAATATCAGCAAAATTTTAACAGAACTGGTACAAATGTAAGAACATGACAACGCTGTTTCCGATACGCTTCAGTCCATCCGCCAAAAAAATGTAAGGAAGGAAAGGCTATGGAACGGAAGGGAAACAGAACGAATAGTGTGCATTTTCCTATTCATTTACATGATATAATATTTTATGTAAACGGAAGGGAGCTGATATAGAAGGTATAGTGAGAATCAACCTTTAGGTGGACAAATCTTTTTGAAGGATATCGCGGCTGAATAACGGATTATCCGCAGTAATGATGGACGTCTGACCACTTACGCCCCCTTAATTCGCCACCAAACCGACGTTGCCAAATTTATAATTTATAAAAATGAACTTGTAAAAAAAAGATTAAATCCCCAAAGAAGTTGAAACCATAAAATAATAAATACAAGAAGAAGTGTCAAGTCAATGTTAAATTATGGAAACAGCGTGGCTGCCTGGGTAACTAATTTTCAGATATGGCGGCTGGGACATTTGACATGACATAGACACTTCATTGACATGACAATTTCAATTTTATGAAATTTATTTCCGTTTCCGGTTTTTAATGGCGGGCTGTTCAGGAGGTTTAAATGAGGGTTAATATACTTTTTACTTTTTCTAGTAGTAAATAATACAACAAAATTACTCAAAAATATTTATTTGGAATTTAGAACAATGTAAATATGCAAATCAACACAATTAAAGATCTATAAACCCATAAACTACTGTATCAATATCAAAATATTTAAATAACATCAGAGATGCTGTGTTAAAGTGAATTAGTAAAGTAACAATGCACTGACTTACAGAAACTTGAAGATAAATAAATGTTTTCACAGCTTCATGGGCGTAAAACTAACTGGAAGCAGGAAAAAGACAACAGGAACCCACGCAAAACCTGGAATCAAAAAAAAATATGTAAAAAAAAAACATAAATATAGGTACATAAGACTGTTATAAATTAAATCAAACAGGACTTGAATGAAAATAAAAAGAATAAAAAATATGATACCTATACATCTAATACCTCATTTGTATTTTAAAAATAATCTACATACATAGCATCATTGCTATGAAAATACATAATAGGTATCTATGTGATATGTAATTACGCATTTCTGTTCATCTTGTAGATAATTAATATAGGCTGTAGGCTAATAATAGTTCAATAATCATAATTTACCTTGTGTAACTTGCTTTCAATTGCTCAAAATCACCGATCAGTCTTTAAAGTAGAGATACGGAAAAATCCTTGGTAAAGAATATCCCAAGATCCTTGGATCTAAAGCTAAAAAAATATAAAAACAGTTAATTTATTATACCTATTTTTACATAAAATATGGCCCATACCTACTACACACGCAGAAACGTCGATTTCATCATTTTCTTCATGTAATTAATATCATATATACTTTATTAAAGTGTTAACAAGGAACTTTATATCAAAAAACATCTTTGTACTTATAAATTTCAGCCGAAATATCATAAACAAACTTCCATTCAAATCTAAAACGGCAAAAATTAAAATGGCGCCCGACCTTGCCAGAGGCCTCGGGAGTTGACACATGGCTGACACACAGACAAAAGAAGAGGACGCCGACGTGCATAAAAATGTTCCGTAACTGAAATTGACAGAAATCATATAGAAATATTCAGATTTTTGTCTAGGACAGTCTAGAAGGCCATGCTTTCTGCCTGGGTATGACCGCGCCAGAACTGTTTCCAATTTTCCGGTTTACTGTCACCCCCCTGGTTGAAACCAACGCAATCAAACTTCTTTCATACAACTTTGTGGTTATTAATAGTCAGATCTCGTATGCAAAAACTTGCAGCTAGCCAGACTTGCATCTCAGGCGGGTATTTCGCGTGCAATCTAAACAAAAAATAACTTACCCCAGAGACTAACCAAAGCAATCAAAACACGCCTATGGCGTATGGCGTGTTTTGATTGCTATTACCTAGACCAATCTCCCACTACACCTTGACACCTGTGAAAAAATGTAATAAAAAAGTTTATATTTGTTGGAATCGAACCTTGGACCTCTCGATCCGGAATGGCCAATGGAGCCACAGCCGCTTTTATAATTTGGCTATAGCTAGGCGTTACTTTCCGCCGTTCGACCGAAGACAAATACGCATGCGCAATTGTGCCGTTCCTCCAATGTGGCCACCGCTTATAAAATTCGGCAACATTGGTTTGGCGGCAAATTAAAGAATCATGGCCACTTTAGCAATAGCATTAGAAGTTTGTTTACAGATAATTGTAGTATGTCGACAAAAGCCGAGGTCAACGTCGCTCGAAGAAGGACATGGCTATAGCGGTTTTTAAGAATTTTTAACATATCTAAAGCACAATAAGTAAATCTCAATAACAGAAATGAGACGACGAGAAAATAAATTGTCACTATAAAGGTGAATCCTATGGGTGAATCACTTCCAAGATTAAATCATTCAAAGAGAATATTTGTTACCTAAGGATAAGATAACAGTTCAAAGAACTCTTTATTGGAGACATCCTAAACCAGTAAAAACACTTAGCCACCTTAATTACTTAATATACTATTATTATCTCATATTGATTGCTCGAAAATAAAATCTGATTTTTATACTTACCGGTTTTTCGATTATATTATACGTCATTGTACTAATCATGCTTGAAGTCAAACTGGTCGACATCACTTTTTGATCGTTCCCATTAAAATAATCGTTAACCTCTTTCTTGTTTTTGAACGACGGTTTAGGAGAGGGCTCATACACAGTCAAGGATCTTTTCAGCAACGGCAAACCTTTAGTTTTTTCTTTTTTCTCTGGCTTCACGGGACTAGAAGAGATATTTTTCGAAGTTTTAGAGAGTAAAGCTTTCCCCGAGACCGAACTAATTTTATTACTCTTATTACTACTAGAATGGACCGGTTTAGGATTAATCAGACTAGCTTCCCGCTTCGTCCTATTGACTAGACTCAACGACCTTTTGACCAAAGGTTTTTTTTGAACCTTCGGCTCCAAGGCCTCGATTTTCTTATCGTATTTCGCGCTGTACACGTCCACGTTGTTGTCCTGTAGTGTTACGTCCGTATCGACGGTAGATGTGGGCGAATAATCCTCTATCTTTAAATTGTCTGGAATCGAGAGATTGTCGTTTTCGTTGATCAAACTCGGATCGATCGAAGACGACATGTCATCGCTGTATTTCCGATTGTCGAGAATTTGATCCAGCATTAAAGTAGTACTGTCCGCGTTGTTTTTGAGATTGTGCAAGTAAAATCCTCCGCCGGTGTCGTTCTCGTTAGTCGCGTTTCCGAAATGTTCGTTAATCATGTTCTCGATCAGCTCGAAGTCGTCGTTTACAGAGTCCAGAGAGTCTTTGAAGTTGAAGGGCGGATCTATGACCGATTCGCGTGTCGATTTCTTCACGGGTTCGGCAGATTTGACGGTTTTCTTGACAGGTGAGGGTGACGACCTTGTGTTGTGGGGTGTGGTGTGTGGTCGGGGAGTGTTGGCGGGTGCGTCCGAAGGCGTCGATGGTGTGGAGGGTTTGAAGTCGTCGCACTCGAGCAGTTCCATGAATTGGCGCTGGGCCATTTCGAATGGATCGTAGTTCGAGCCGTTACTGAAAATAAAGCAAATTCCAATCAAGCAAACCTATATAACTTGTTACTACATTATTCTTTATATTATTTTTTCTAAATATGGTAGAACACAATCCTTCAAAATAATAAAATTTGGTTGTTAATATGAGTAAAAATAAAGCCATTCTTAATTCAAGATAAATTTGAAGAAAATATGAATTTAGTTATTTGCACCATTTAATATTCAAATTGTTCTTTTAATTGCTGTTAAAAAATACTTACTCAAAAATAGGAGTACAAAAATAGGGATACAATACAAAGGAACAGTTGAATAAGTTTAAAAAATACTAAATAATGAAATATTAATAAATCTTGAAAACCAAAATATTCTTAAATAACATGGCATCTATTGTTTGAACACTACAGTTATCATAGACTATATAATTATATTAGTTAGTTAAGCGCTTTACTTTTTTTTGTGGTACGAAGGTTAAGTAGATTAGGGCTCAAACGCACTGACGACCAGGTCACAGCGACCAGCATTTGATTCAATGTTATTAGGACATGCAGCTGCGACCAGTAATAACATTGAATCAAATGCTATATGTCGCTGCGACCCGGTCGTCAGTACGTTTGAGCCCTTAGCTCCGGACCAAGCGTTGCCCTTTTACCACTTTGTACAGTTTTGTAATCTTATAAAGCCGGAAACACTCTGCTCACGTGCTGTCACGTTGTCATGACTAATATGTGATATTATGCTTAGAAGCACATTACTATCACGTTTTATGCTGTAGTACACAAATTGGCAATTTTTCTTTAATTTCAGTCTGTGTTGGGTGCTTGTTTTTCTTGAATTTTCAGTTATGGAAAGCGCCAACTCAATCAGTTCTTCGGACTGGAAACAGGAACTAAAAATTGAAGCTGCTTTTATCGTTCTGGAGGAGAAAAATAAAAACAAGAGGAAAGCTTGGGTCCATGATTGTATTAAACATCATGTTCTCTGACTTTTTCTATTAAAATCTCATCCATTCTCAAATATAAACAATAAAAGTTTTAACACAAAAACCGTATAAACCTAACCTCACCTGAGACGAAAATTGTGGATCTGCAGAAAATAAGCAAATGCTAGCACGCGTGCGGTTGCCGATGAATACGCATGAGGTGACTTCAGTGTGGTTCTGATGTATTAACATACTATGTAAAACAGCGCTCCACATTTTTTGTCGGTAACGTGACAGCACGTGAGCTCATGTGCCGTAAGCTCAGTGTGTTTCCGGCTTAATAATTACAGTTGGGGGTTGGAACCCTTGGTGTTATACAGCAAAATAAAACACTAAATCACCACAATACACCAAAACACTTTTTTACACTGGACGCGCGTTTCGATAACCATGTTAGCATCATCAGCAGATGATCAAGACTGATCAGCAGATTTGAGTCTTGATCATCTGCTGATGATGCTAACATGGTTATCGAAACGCGCGTCCAGTGTAAAAAGTGTTTTGGTGTATTGTGGTGATTTAGTGTTTTATTTATAATACTTGCTCTTTGTATTTTTTTTATTTATTATGTCGTTTTATCTCAACTACATCTTTTCTAGGCTTTAGTTCCCGGTTAAGTTACATTATAGAAATCGCCTTATTGTATGGCAGGTGTTAAGGATTACAGATTTTTGCATAAGTTGGTACTGGTGTGGTTCTAAGTCTATTGCCTTCAGCGATTCAATTAGTGTTTTTGGTATTACACCCATATTCGATAGTACTAATGGGATGACCCGGACTCCGGGTCATTTCCACATATCCTTAATTTCAAAGCACAAATCAATATATTCGGTAATCTTCTCTCTGTATTATTTTTTTTTCAAAGCTCAGCATAGCTGGTTATAATGTAGGAATTCGGGTCTTTGCCAAGAATTCTTACAATGTTGATCCTAGGAATGACCGCACAATGTTACATGTGTTAAGAATAACAGCTTTCTGCATATCAATGTAAGTATTTGCAGTAATGTTCAGTAATTTCAAGTTTTGTTCAAGAGTCTTTGGTACAATGCCTTCAACTGATATAATAATGGGTATAATGCTAACCTTCATATTCCACATCGCTTCGATCTCTTGTGCCAGGTGAGTATATTTATGTATTTTCTCTTGATATTTTTGGGTCAAGTTTTGTGTGTTTGGTACGGATATGTCTATGAGCTTGACTTGTTTGTTACGTTTATCAATTAGTGTTATATCCGGCCTGTTGTGCGGTATTGTCGCATCTGTGAGTATTATCTTATCCCAGTATATCTTTACGTCTTCATTTTCGATGACTGGCTTTGGTTCGAATGAGTAATAGGGTTTAGGATCTTCTTCAAGCAACGAGTATTTCCTCTATATTTCCTTGTAGAGGATGGTAGCTACTTCGTTATGCCTTTTTAGATATTTCGTAGGAGCTAGTGTCGCACATGATGACGTAATATGATCAAGGTTTTCCTGAGGCTTTCCACATTTGTGACATTTGTCAATTACATTATCTTGCTTCATTATGTATTTTTCATGGTTTTTTGTTTTGATGACCTGATCCTGAATTGCAACAACGAATCCTTCGGTCTCAGGAAACAAATAACCTAGTGTTAGCCATTTTAAAGATTTTGTTTTGTCTATATGACCGCCATCTATGTTATTTTTGTATCTACCATGAAGTTGTTTAGATGCCCATTCTTGATATTTCTGGTGATCTGTCTTTATAAGATTAATCGGATTTTCATTCCTAGTTGCTAAGTTTAGGGGTGTATAGGATTTATCTGACTCAATAATTGTTCGGTGTACTTCCTTGGATTCATTTTATAAAAATACTGACGCATGTCATGGATTTGTGCATAGTGAAGATTTTGAGGTCGATTAGTCCTCTTCCTCCTTCCGATCTTTGGAGGTTTAGTCTTATCTGTGATGATTTTGGATGGTGCATTTGGAATTTAGTCAAAGTGGTGCGGACCAATCGATTAAGTGCTTCCAGATCTGTATCAGACCACTTAACAATACCAAAAGAGTATGTAAAAACTGGAACGGCATAAGTATTAATAGCTTTTATGATATTATTTGATGAAAGTTTAGTTTTGAGTATGCTCACAAGTCTTTGTTTGAATTCTTTTGTGTATTTGTCTTTCATTATTTTATGTTCATTTTTATGTGTTTGTATGAGTCCTAAATACTTGTAGTGACCAATCCCAATTCTCTCAATAAAATCTCCACCTTCCAGCTCAAAATCTAATCCATCCATCAACTGGCCTTTTTCGACGGTAACAATTTTGCACTAGTCTAGTCCAAAACACATTCCTATATCTTGCGTCATGTTGTTAGTCAGTTCGAGTATACTATTAAGTTGTTTCCTGTTGGCAGCGTATAATTTGAGATCATCCATGTAGAATAGATGATTGATTCTACATTGGTTCCTGCTTCCTTTGACGTTACGCCATATTTTGTATTTTTAAGGGTGTTGGATATTGGGTTAAGTGCTAGGCAAAACCAAAGAGCACTTAGCGAATCACCTTGAAATATTCCTCTCTGTATGCGTATTTTATTGGTTTTAATTTGTGTTTCTTCTTGTGTAATTTGCAATGAGGTAGACCACTCAATCATAGTGTCTTTCAGAAACTTGACGATGTCACGATTGATTCCATAAATTTCCAACACATGAAGTAGCCAGGAGTGAGGAATAGTATCGAACGCTTTTCTGTAGTCAATGTATGCGATGTTTATATTGCGACATAGTTTTCGGGTCTGTTCAAGAATAACGGCGTCAATGGTTAGCTGTTCAAGAATAACTGCGTCAATGTTAGTTAATATGTTAGTTGGCGTCAATGGTTAGTTGTTCTTTGCATCCTAATACATTTCTTTTACAACCCTTCTGCTCTTCAGTCATGTCATAATGTTGTGCTCTGAGAGGTGGTTGTAGATTTTTGTGCACAGAATTCCCGAGAGGAGCTTATGTAATGTCGGCAAACAGGTGATTAGCCTATATTGAGATGGGTCAGATGTATTAGAGGATTTAGGAAGAAGATACGTAATTCCTTCTGTAAAAAAATGGGGTGTGAGTGATGGAGATTCGATATAAATATACGTGCAATGTGTAGGTGTAACACATTCAGTCGTTTCAACCAGAAGTTATGTATACCGTCTATGCCAGGTGCTCTCCAGTTGGCGGATTTCAACAAAAGTTATTAATGTGTATGGCATTTTTTGGATATTTGAAAACCTTTCTTCCTCTTTCTGAATCCATTTTGCAGAACTACGATGTTCTCTGGGGTTCATCCATATGCTTCCCCAAAAGGCCTCAACATCAGTCTTGTCTGGTAATCCATCTCCAGGGTCTACAGCATCTTGTCGAAGTTTTCTATAAAAAGATCGCTGATTTTTCCGAAAGAGTTGGTTGTCTCTTTTTCTTGCATTAGAGTCTCCATATCTACGCAGTCTTTTGCTATACACTGCTAATTTTTGTTTTAAAGTGTCCACGTAATCAGTTATTATGTGTTTGTGTTCTGTAGGTGGTTTCATCTGTAGCTTTTGTTGGAGGTCTGTTGGTATTTTTTGCATATTGGTAAGTTTATGGTTTGATAGTGCTGTGGTAATACCTATTTTCCGCCTAAGGTTTTTAATTTTATTTTCTAGACGCAGCTGCCATTTTGGTTTCGTAGCGATCTTTTTAGAGGTTTCTGAAAGACTAGTAAACAACTTCTGATTCTGACTAAGGACTGTTCTTGCGGCACAGTAGATGAGTAAATGAAGTTGAATCATAATCTGCAAGAGGTTTTGTTTCGATAATTCTGTTTATTGTCGAAATTAGTGCATTCGTCTGGGAATTATAATTGAGCTTGGGCAAAAGTGGCCTGTTTTTCGGATCTATGCCATCATACTCAATAAGAAGTTGTTCCAATGTATTACTCATTTTTGTAAAGATAGGATTTTCTTGTCGCAGTTCAGATCGTGGCTGATTCTTTTTTGGACTATTGTTTGTAGGTGCCTCAGGTTCTAGGAGTGTTTCTCGATTCTCAGTTCTATCG